GATTTTGGGATCCCCAGGAAAAGGGGGATTTTTGGGAACCCACCAGAAAAGGGGGATTTTGAGATCCCCCAGAAAAGGGGGATTCTGGGATCCTGGGAAAGGGGGATTTTGGGATCTCTGGGAAAGGGGGATTTTGGGATCTCCAGGGAAAGGGGGGATTTTTGGAACCCCCGGGAAAGGGGGATTTTGGGATCTCCAGGGAAAGGGGGATTTTGGGACCCACCAGGAAAGGGGGATTTTTGGGGCCCCCTGGGAAAAGGGGGATTTTTGGGAACCCCCCAGGAAAAGGGGGATTTTTTGGGAACCCACCAGGAAAGGGGGATTTTTGGAACCCCTGGGAAAAGGGGGATTTTTTGGGAACCCACCAGGAAGACGTCGCAGAAGCTGCGGAGCCAGAAGTGCTGCACGGCCCCCAGGGCCAGGTGCAATTCCAGGGATTCCAGGCGGCGGCTGCACTCGGATACGGCCCCGGCCAGGCGGGAAAGCACCCAGCGCTCCATGGGATCACTGGGAATGACCTGGAATGGGATTGGGATGGGATTTGGGGGGGATTGGGGAGGGTCAGACAGAATCCAGCGCTCCATGGGATCCCCTGGGATGGGATTGGGGTATTCTGGGGGGTCCCTGTAGGTTCTGTGGGGTCCCGGTGAGTTCTGGGTGGTCTCTGAGAATCCCTGTGGATTCTGGGGGGTCCCTGTGGATTCTGGGGGCCCCTGGTGGTCCCTATAGGTTCAGGGGGTCCCTGTAAGTTCTGGGGGGTCCTTGGGGGTCCAGGAGGACTCTGGGGGTCCCTGGTGGTCCCTGTAGGTTCAGGGGGTCCCTGTGAACTCTGGGGGATCTCTGTAGGTTCTGGGGGGGTCCCTGTAGGTCCCTGTAGGTTTTGGGGGTCCCTGTGAACTCTGGGGCATCCTGGTGAGTTCTGGGGGGTCCCTGGTGGTCCCTGTAGGTTTTGGGGTGTCTCTGTAGGTTCTGGTGGTCCCTGGTGGTCCCTGTGGATTCTGGGGGGTCGCTGTGGGTTCTGGGTGGTCCCTGAGGGTCCCTGTAGATTCTGGGGGTCCCTGTGGGTTCTGGGGGGTCCCTGAGGGTCCCCTTTAGCCCCCCACATACCTGCTCGGGGTGGGGGGGCCGGAATCCCCCCCCCAGGGCCCCCAGGACGAAGCGGGTCCCGTTCCAGACCTTGTTGCAGAAGCGGCGCTGACTCAGCACCTCCCCCACGTCCACCCGCATTTCCGCTCCTGGGGGGG